CACGCGGCGGGGGGAGGGCAGGGTGGCCTCCCCCCTCACAAGCCAACTCCAGCCGGCTCTTTCCACCAGACAAAAAAGCACATCAGGAAAGTGCTGGCGGCCAGCCTTTCTGGGCAGCCAGTTCTCCCCGGGCAGTGACGGGCCTTCTCCCGACCTTCCCACCCAGGCCAGCCTGCCCTCAGAAGGCATGTTCAGAACCAACAAAGGCCTTTTTGTTACTTTCCTTTTTGTGTAAAGGCCTGAGCTGGTTGCCTCCTGGAGGCATTCAGATTCCCTAGCTTGGTAGCAGAGGCTGCTTACCACGGCTGGATGCCACCCTGTGCCAGCACGGTACCTACCTCCAAATCTCCCCTCCCCCTCCCAGCCTGCCTCTGCAAGTGCATTTCCCAGTTAAAACCTGTCCACCTTGTAAGTCCAGCTCACAACCACTATTTCCATCCCCCTGGAGCCCCGGCTTATTTGCTGACCCTTGGGCCACCCTAGTCCACACCTCTGGTCACCTGCTACATCATTTAGCACCTGGACTGTTTTCTGCTGCTTCGGCCACTTGCCCCTCTCTCCACAAAGTAGGAGCCACAGGCTCTTGGCCCTGGGTAGACTGTGGCTCTTCACTAAGGCCCATGGAAAATTACCTGAGGGCCAGTCCCCAAACCTGATCTCTGGTCCCTGATCCCTGGTGCCTGGTCTGTGATCTCTAATTTCTGGTCTGTGGTCTCTGGGCCCCGATCTCTGGTCCCTAAACTCTGGTCCCTGATCCTTGGTCTGTGATCTCTAATTTCTGGTCCGTGGTCTCTGGCCCCTGATCTCTGGTGCCTGATCCCTGGTGCCTGGCCTGTGATCTCTAATTTCTGGTCCGTGGTCTCTGATTCCTGGTGCCTGGTCTGCGATCTCTAATTTCTGGTCTATGGTCTCTGATCCCTGATTTGTAGTCTTTGGCCCCTGATCTCTGGTCCCTAAACTCTGGTCCCTGATCCCTGTTCTCTGATTTCTAGTCTCTAGTCCCCAATATCAGGTGCCTCATCTCTGATCCTTGGTCCCTGAACTTTGATCAATGTTCCTGATCTCTGGTCCCTAGTCCTTGAACTCGGATCCCTGATCTCTGATCCCTGGTCTCTGATCCCTGGTGCTTGAAATCTGACTTCTGGTCCCTGAAATAAATCTGGTCTCTGGTCTCTGCTCCCTGAAATCTGATTCTTGGTCCCTGATCCCTGATTGCTGTCCCTAATATCTGATCCCTGGTCTTTGATATCTGGTGCCTGATCTCTGGTCCCTGATATGTGATTCTTGATCCCTTGTCTCTGGTGTCTGATCTCTGGTCCCTCAGCCCTGGTACAAAGGGACTGATGGCCTTTCTTTGCCCCCAGGTACTTCTACTCCAGGAAGAATTGCCTTGAGCTAAAAGGCTTGATGTACTTTGAATCCTGAGACCACTCATGGCTGTGAATTAGGGATTTGTCAGATCTTTCAGTCAGTGTTCCTCAGGGATCACCTCCCGATGACCATTTCTGGGCCATTTTCTGCAGAAGAATATGAAAGCGGGTGCTTGGATTCAGCTCCAAAGAGAACAGGGGCCTTTTGTAGCACCTGCTTAGGTGGGGAGATTTGCTGGAGTTTCCCTTTACCCACCCTGTTGTCTCACAGTCAGGGAGAACTTGTTGGCTGAGAGCCACCCCGCCCCCCCCAAAAAAAGCTCTGCCTGCCTTGGCCCCTGCTGCCGCTGGTGAAGCTGAAGTCCCCGAGACTGGGGCCCCTGGGCAGGGTGGTATCACACGTACATAGTTCTATCTGTATGAATTTGGGGGGAGAAACAGGAACACAGGGATGATACCAAATGCCCTAAAATCATGAATTAACACACCTCCATGACAAAGTGACCTGGTCTCCCATCCCAGCAAGGTGGAGAGACGGGAAGGTCAGACAGTGCATGGCAGGGTAATTCACATGTCCACTAGCTGTGGCCCAGTCCATGGAGTGAACAGGAGGGTGATTCCACGGCCTGTGCTTTCCTACGAACAGCTATTAAGCCAGGATGAGGTAGCCTGGGCCTGCACACAGAAATCCCAGGTGGTGCCAGGGCCTCAGATACTCTCTGGAACACTCAGCCCAGCCGGCAGGAGAAGTGCTGGGAAGGTCTTCATGGAAGGCATTTTCCTAATCCCTGGATCCCCAGAGAGGGCACAGCACCCATGAAGTAGGTAGGGCTGGGATTCAGGGAATTCGCACCCCAGAGTGTTACCCCAGAGGAGGGGGCCCACAAGGGGCCCACACTTACCTGCCCGCCTTCGTCAAATGGGCCCACGTAGGAGAACCATGCTCGAGAGCAGAACCAGGTGGGCATGATCACAGTTGGGCCATTGGAGGTAAAGACCTAGAAGCAATGACACTGACATAATTATTGGAGAACACCTTATCACAAACAACTGACAACTTATCTTCCACAAAGTGTAAGTCAGAAAGTGACAAATGAATTTGCCTTTCTTTGAGGTACAGCAGTTTAAGGGACTTTACAGCCACATCAACAGTATCTGGTGCCCAAGGCTAACAGATGGGGGAAGAGGGGCCAACAGAATGAGTGGCCCCACTGGGGTCCTGTTCCCAAGTTAACGCTCATTGATTGTGTTCAATAAGGAGGTCCCCCTGCTTTTGACTGGTGGTGAAGCTTCGTGTGAAAACAAAACATAAATATGTTGCTTTTAATTATGACAAGAAAAACTGAAACAGGATAAAAAGATAGTGTACATGAAACGGATAGACTCCTAGAAAGACATGAATCATCGAAATTGACTGAAAAAGAAATAGAAACTATGAATAGATCTATGACAGGTAAGAGATTGAAAAAGTAGTTTTAAAAAAACCCCAAACATAACTTCCCACAAAGAAAAGCCCAGGTCCAGAGGGCTTCACCAGTAATTCTATCAAATATTTAACAAATTGATATCAATGCTTCACAAAGTCTTCCAAACAACAGAAAAGTGTGGGAGACACTTCCTGAGTCATTCTGGAAGAGACCAGCATTATCCTGACACCAAAGCCAGTCAAAAATATCATAAAACTACACACCAAGATGCCTTATGAATACAGTTGCAAAAATGTTCAACAAAACACTAGTGAATGGAATCCCAACGTCATAGAAAAAGGACCCTACACCATGACCAAGTGGACTTTATCCCAGGATTGCAAGGTTGGTTCAATATATGTAGCCACGCTGAAGAAAAAGTCTCCAGATGCTGAGACTGGGCGGACGTGCAGGGCTGCCCCTGCAGCGAAAACAGCGGCAGGAGCAAACTGCACATGGTCTTTATTTCATGTTCGCCAGGTAGAAACATCGAAGAATGTTAGAGCATGGGAGAAAAACAGAAGGAGCCTCCAGACGTAGAGCAAACTGGTGTTTACAGAAAAGCAAGCAAGGCAGGGGCAGGTGTGTGGTTTCAAGGACTGTCAGGCAGGGACGGCAGGTCGGTCTCCTAACTGGCTCCTGGGGCCCTGTTCTCATAGCGCCGTCACGTCCCACAGCCTTGAGCCCAGAGCACCGCTGACATTTCAGCAATTACCCCATTCACTTTCCCAGGACTTACAAAACGCTCTCTAGAAATAACTCTCTAGAAATAACCTATGACAGGAAAACCTCACCAGAATTACACGGAAGTCTGGAGTAAGGCGGGGAGGCTTTTATAGAGGAGGCGGGAGGTTGGGCGGGGCTGTTGTAAACAGAATGTCCATTGGACTATACTGGGAGCTGGAAGTATGGTGGCTTCTCATTGGCTGGGCTGTGGCTGTCTCTCATTGGCTGGGCTGTTGCCGGAGCAGCAGGAAACCTTCCTGCAAGGTGCCTCTCCTCCTGTTGGGTCTGCGATTGCTAACTAGTGCTGGGCCCACAGCTCCTCGTGCCCGCCTCTATCCCACCCTAAATGAGGTTTCCTTGATTCAGTTTCACACTTAAAAGCACAATACAATAAAGAACATTTGGAATGAGTCCATAAAATACATAAATGTATGGAAGGGAATGTACCTAAATAATAACAGCAGTCGCCAATGACTGCTGAGGTTACATAGGATTTGCTTTATTCTTTTCTGTATTCCTGAATTTCTTTTTTTATATTTACTTACTCTTAGAGAGAGAGAGAGAGAGAGAGAGAGAGAGAGAGAGAGCGCATGTGAGCAGGGGAGAGGGGCAGAGGGAGAGAGAGAATCCTAAGCAGGCTCCACACTCAGTACGGAGCCCAACTTGGGGATGATCTCAAGACTGTGAGATCATGACCTGAGCCGAAATCGAGTTGGTCACTTAACTGAACCACCCAGGCGTCCCTATATTTTTCTGGAAAAAAAAATTTTTTAGAGTTTATTTTTATTTATTTTGTGAGAGAGAGCAAGAGTGGGATAAGGATAGAAAGAGAGGAGACAGAGAATCCCAAGCAGACTCAACACTGTCAGCACAGAGCCTGAAGCAGGGCTCAAACTCACAAGCTGTGAGATCATGACCTGAGCCAAAGGCAGACACTTAACTGACTGAGCCACCCAGGCACCCTTGAATTTCTTAAACATCAACAAAAAAGCAAGATTATAGTCAGAGAAAAAGCTGGCTCCACCTTGAAAAAAAACATTTCCAGGAAAAAATTTTTGAGAAAAAAAGATACACATAACTATATAATTATACTTTTATATTCAACGCAATTTCTTTCGTTTATAAAGAAAACACTCAAAAATTTTCTGAGTGGAATCATTAATTTTGTTCTGAAAATGCTTTCTGTGTACAAGATTAATATATGTTCATTGACACAAAATATAGAACGTCATGCAGAAAAACTAAAACCATCCCTAATTGTACCACCCAGAGAAATAAAGTATTAAATTTACAGTGTGTTCCCTTCCAGACCTTTTACCTTAGGAGAAAAATTGCAAAATGTGTACCAAGTGTGTGCACACAAACCCTAACCCTATCACCTGCTGTCCTCATAGTTCTGTCTTAGGTTTTCTTCTGGAACACCATCTCTGTGCCGGGAAGTCACAGCTGCAGAACGTTGTCCCCAGATCTCTCCTGCCATCATCTTTCCTGACCTCCAGTTGCTCCTTCTTCAAGGACTTCTTTTACTTTGAGAGTCTGGAACTCTAACTTTCTAGAATGTTCCTGCCTCCTGCTTCCTGGGGTCCACCTGTTCCCACAGGACTCAGAAGGTCCTTTGTATGCAGTGATGGCACCCATAGCTTTTTGTCCCCACCAAACAGGGTCACCGCACCTGAGACACCCTGGCTGGTGGGAGCCCGGGGTCTGTCTGAGCAGCAGTGGCCCAGAGGGTGGAGAAGGAGCCCTGTTTCCCTAGTGAAAACAATCAGTGGTGACAAAAAGGTGTTATGTGTCAACGAGTCCCACTGGTGGAGAGCTGGGCCCCACCACACCTGGGCATTTCTTTTCTGAGTTAATTCCTATTAACCCGTAAAATCTGAACTCATGCCAGTGACAGGTCATGGGCAGGGCATGAGCATGTGACTTCTGTGAGAACATGCCAGACACTCGGTTCCAAGCTGGGCCCAGAATCTCAGTTTCTCCCGCACTGGGAGGCTCTGAGCACATCACAGAACCCTGAAAGCTGACTGATTAAACGCTGCAGCTCAGAGCAAAGGCAACGAGCCCCTCAGCCCTCTGGGCCTGGGAAGCACTTCTTCTGAGTTCTGAGAGCACGACTCACCCTTGAACAACACAGGAGTGAACGGTGTGGGTCCACTTACAACATGGATTTTTTTTTATAAATACAGCACAGTGCCATTATTGAGTTTCCCTAGCGGTCTTCTTAGTAATGTTTTCTCTTCTCTGGCTTACTTTATTGGAGGAATACGGTATAAAATACATGTGTTAATTGTTCACGTCACTGGTGAGGCTTCTTGTCCTGTAGGCTATTAGCAGTTGTTTTTTGGGGTCAAAAGTCATACAAGGATTTTGGTCTGTGCGGAGCTTCGGCACCCTGAAACCCCACTCTGTCCAAGCGTCAACTGTATTTCGATGTGTCAACTGTCCAGCGGCACCCTGCCCCTCAGGACAGGCCCGCCTCCTCACACACGGCTGCAGAGCAAAGTCCCTCTCTCGCTTGGCTGTCTGAGCCGGCTTACATGATGGTCAGTGAGGACGGCATCACCTGTGTTTGCTGGGGGCCCCCACAGTTCTGGAACCCTCCACCATGTTTGCTGTGGGTCCCCACAGTTCCGGAGCCCTCCACTCAGCCCAACACTCATCCACTCCACACGGGGGGCTGTTTGCAATTCTCAGAAGCTACCATCAGGTAGGTCGCTGGGCTTCCTGTGAGTGGCAACGTTAGTGGTGCCACTTTGCAGAGTGCTGGCCCAGTGAAGCACATCGAGATACTTAGCATTTTACACAAACGAGCCGGTCGGGGTGGTTACACACATACGCATGTGTGGTAAGACTCAGAACTGTATGCCAGAAAGGGAAAAACCAATCCATTGTATGGTGTGTTAGTCTTTGGACAAGTAAATGTTTTCAACTTTAAATGGTTTTTCCAGGCTTCGTGGAGTCTAGGAGAGGGCGTCTGTTTACAAAACAAAACCAGAGGCACACATATTCCTACAAAGATACACATAGATGGCAGCTTCACTGCCCAATGTGAGGACTGAACAGGGGAGACAGGCCAACTGGCAGAGACTGGCTACATGGTTTTCTGTCCTGTCCCTGAGATGCCAGCCCCCAGCTGACGTGTCCCCTGCTCCCTCGGGAGCCTCATGTCTCTCCGTGGAAACGATGCTGGCTGCAGGTGACAGGAGAAACCTGCTGATGGAATTTTCTTCTTGGCAACTTGGGGAAGGAACAAGGCCAGAGCAGGGACGAGGACGGAAGCCGGGCACTGTTCCTGGTGTTGCTGACATTTCTGTGACCAGCGGGAGATCAGAGGTCCGGAAGGGGGCAGGCTGGCAGGACAGAGCCTCGGGGTTTGATGGCCTTTTGGAAATTTGCCAGTCTTCAGTTCTAGACACGCTTCAGGCTGTGAACGAATTCCGTGTTTGAATTTGATGCTGTGTGGAGTGTGTCCAGAAGGGCTCCCAGAGGGCAATGAGCTGGGACTGTGGGGGCCGAGGAAGGCCAGTGACCACTCCCTCAACACAGGGAGGAGGCGTCCTATGCTTTGTGAGCGTACCCTGCCTCTGAAGTTCCCCGAGACTCTTCATAGGAAGAAATGGTCTTGGAAGAAAACCGGCCTTTCCTTGAAGGATGGCTGGTCTGGGCCGCTCCCAGCACCACATCATGTGCCTGAGTGGCCAGGGCAGACCTCCCAGCCCTGACCCCTGATTCAGCCAGGCCAGGCTGTCGGCACATCAGGGGCTGGGTCCCGGGCTCAGCTGCTACTCTGGCAGCCCAGTGAA